CCCCTACTGGACACTATAGAATTAGGTATGCCATGTAATCTAAACACCTCCCTGGTGAATATAGCAGGCAAATCTTTGGAAGAAGGCCATTTGACAAGTGACACAAAATGACCCATCTTAGAGAATCTATCAACGATCATTAAGATGACTGTTTTACCATTGGAAGGAGGAAATTCAACAATAAAATCCACGGACAGATTAGACCAAGGTCTCTCGGATATAGGTAAATGTTGTAACAACCATAAGGAACTCTATGGGAGGGCTTCATACTGGCACAAGTGACACATAATTGGTGATGTCCTTGCTCATAGAGGGCCACCAAAAGTTAAGTGAAACTGCAATTAAAGCTTTAGAGATACCAGGATGCCCGGCTGTCTTGGTATCATGATAGAGTGACATAATGTCTCGTCTTTCAGTGAGAGCAACGTATAACTTATCAAGAGGTTTCTCCCTAAGTGCCTCATTTTGTTTGGTTTGTATAACCTGTAGGATAGACGATGAAATAGAGAGAATAGTAGTAGCGATTATTTGTTAGGAGGTATGACAGGAATACCATCAAATCAGTAGTTTCAAACTGCCTGGATAGAGCATCTGCTTTGGTGTTGCTGTCAGCAGGTAATGACATAATTGAAGCGCGATAAAAACAATTACCCATACCGAAAATAAATGCATCTTCACCTGTTTCTATTAACCACACTTTTGAATTCTATTGGTTCCTGTGGCAATTAGTGACTGTAGTACAATCTTCTTGCGGGCTCCGGCATCATAATATATTGGAGCATTGTCATGGTAATCTAAGCAACTCTATATACAGCATGAACTAATGGGAGGAATATTCTGCACCTAGCGGAGGTGCAGGTCTGGTTTTTATTCTCTCCCTGTTTAATGGTGCTTGAGCCAGTGAGGGAAATTTTTTATCTCAACTGCTAGTCCATAACACAGGCACACAGCAAGGCCAGCTTGGATAGTCTGTCAGACTTAGTCCGTGTCTATTGCAAACCACCAGGCATTTCTCCTGTTTGCCCAATGGCCAGTCTGGCCTGCCAGCTGGCCAGTTCAGTAGACCCTCAAGTCAGCAGGAGAAGGGAAGTTTTGTGTCCAGAACTACTCTGGTTTAAGTAGAAAGGGGCCTACATGTATGGTTCCAGACCTCTGCTGTAAAGCGGATCACCGGCTTTTTTCATTTATTAGTGTATACAAAAGCTTTAAAATGTGATTATGCTATCTAACATTATATGTATTTTAAGTGTGCAAAACCGTATAGTGATTAAAGTGCATACAAATATAACAAGTGTCACTGCAAAATTTAATGATGTGCACTCCTTTACCAAAGTGCTTTTTTACATAACATATAAAAGAACGTCCCCACTCCACCTCCTCCCTTCGATTGTGTCCTTTGTAGGGGCCCTGGCCATTACATTCGCTGCTGACTGCAGAATCTCAGATCACTCCAATATCCCACACGGACTCTTCCGGGAGGCAAGGTTAACGTCCGGACCAGATGACGACGTGACGTGACAGTGCGTCATGACATGTTTCACCTTGATGGCTTCCTCAGATCACTTCCTCATCTCCTGCCAGTCTGTATTTAAAGTCTGCCCACCTGGGTGGGTTCGTTTCACATACCTTTTTTAACAAATTTTTAGGGTTTTGTTTTTGTAGAAATGTATCCTTTAAGACATTTGCTTGTTCTTCAAAGATAGTCTTATCAGTGCAATTCCTCCTTAGTCTTTGAAATTGTCCCTTAGGGATATTTTCCAAACAGGGTGTATAATGTCTGCTGTTGTAGAAAACATAATTGTTCAAGTCCACTTTAAAAATAAAAATAAAATGGGGGGTGGAGCCAGCACCCAACCGAGTTGGACGCATCCTGCAGCAGCTCCTCGGGGAAATCCAAAGTCGAATACAGGCGAAAACGGCACAATTACCGAGCCACTAACCACCTCCTGTGTGCCTCACATTATGGGCAAGAAGGCGAAAAAATATAAAGTTGATCCCGGCTCGGGGTCCCGAGATATCGGAGCTTTCATGCGCACGACCATGCGGCCTGAACCGTGCAAGATGGCGCCGGCTGGGGCCAATACCTCGCCTTCGTCAGACAACGAGAGCCAGACGGCCACCCATTCACCTCCACCAAAGGTACCAGCGAAGCCCGCGACACACATGGAGCTGGGTGACTCAGCTCCAGCCACGAAGGCCGACATAAGGGCTCTAGTGAAGGAAATACAAGCAATGTTCCATGCTGACATGGCGCTGATTAGGGAGGAAATCTCCACGCTCACAGGAAGGGTGAAGATGGTGGAAGAGGACCTTAAAAATGTTGGAGTGGCCCAGACTGACACAGATGCAGCCCTGGGATCCCTGCAAAAGCAATGCAGCACCCTGACTACACAAATAGCCTAAGGCAAAGGCGCGGAACATGAGGATCCGGGGGGTGCCTGAATCGGTCACTGACTCTGAGTTACCCCATTACTGCCGGAGGCTCATAGCCACACTGCTACTACCCAAACAAGTAAAGCAAATAGGTGTGGACTCTTGTTTTCGGCTCCCCAAAGCACCTAGGGCTCCCCAGGGGGCTCCTGGGGATGTACTTGTCAAATTTATTCGGGACTATGACCGGGGGGCTCTCATGGGAGCCTCAAGAGGCTCGCCCACGGTTCCCTTTGAAGGGGCGCACCTAACTTTTTATAGAATGGGCACAACTGACTCACCTACCTGAAACCAGCATGGACTGCAGCCCGTGCTGCCGCTCATAGTTTTGCCTAACAATGTTTGATACTGTATTATTTTAATGTAAGTTAACCAATATTTTATGTACTTATAGTTTGTATACACATATGTCCGCTACCTCTATCTGACTCCGCAAGCTGACAGCCAGTCACCATGCCCTGTATTTACCCCCACCCCCTCCCCTCTATTTTAATGCGCTCCTTCCCCTAATAAGCGAGCTAGCGCTCTGGGGCGCGTTATTCAGCCGACCTAGTTGGCACAACTACCTACTGGCTAACCGCCAAGTCAGAACTAGGTTCTTACATACCATATGACAGCTTTTATTAATTAACTCGCACCCTAAGCAGTATTACTTTAAGACATAGCCTTATAACCTGAAACCCTTGAGGGTGCATAAGCAACTAATCGGCAACCTCCAGTTACTAGTTGGTCTAACAGCTCGTGCAGTCATGAGGAATCTAAGCTAGAAAATTACAAAACTGGGTTTCTAGTAAGCATGTGATGCTGTTGTTGTTGAACAATGTGATTTTTGATTGATACCTTTACTGCACACAATGTAACCTTGTTGATCTTGATTACCTGCAAAAATAAAGAATATAAATAAATAAATAAATAAAAATAAAATAATGTTTTTAAAACACCTCCTTCAGCATAAATGTCTAAATCTTAAAAAAATATTTTTTCAAGTGCTAAAAGAACTGGTTAGAGAAATACCCCAATTATTTTTATTTAGATCCTCCAGGAACATTTCAAGACTATCTATTGAACCCTTCCATACAAAAAAAAGGTTGTCAATGTACCTATGGTATGTAACCAGGTCTGTCCCTCATGCCTGACTTTTATAAATAAATTTGTTTTCCCAGCCAGACATGAATAAGTTAGCATAACTGGGAGCAAACCTGGTCCCCATAGCCATACCTTAACACTGCACATAAAATTTAGAACTAAAGTAAAAAAAATTGTGATTTAAAATCCATTTAATGCTATCTATTAAAAACTCAATATATTCCATAGTAAATTTTCCATAGAAATGATTGGCATTATCATATGATGCAGAAGTGCAGTCTTATCTGAATTAGACAAAGATATTAAGAAAATCTAAAATATACTAGAACCAACAGCAGACAGTATGGACTATGAGGAATTAACTAAAAAAAAAGGTTCATGTGGAAAATGTTTAGGCTGTAAATGTAGTGTAAATAAAACCTTAAAAGGTATAAATACATTTAAGAGTAAATTTAAAGCAGAGGACTTTCAAATTAAGGATTTTATCACTTGTTTTAGTAGAAATGTATTTTATGTTTTAATATGTCCGTGTGGGCTACAGTATGTAGGACGGCCTACAAGACCTCTGAATAAAAGGATATATGAACATATTTACAACATAAAGAAAGGCTTTGAGCAGCACAGCGTATCAGCCCATTTAAAAAAGTTCCACAACAAAGACACAAAAGGTCTACTTTTCCTAGGTATACATTTAGTTAAAAAATCTTTGAGAGGGGGTAATGATGTCCTAAATATTAGCAAAGAAGAAATGAAATGGGTGCTTAGATTAGGCACTTTAGAACCTAGAGGTCTAAATGCAGAATTTGATTTATACAACTTTTTATGACCTGTCATGATTTGTAACCCCCCCTTTTTCAATTGTACACTGAGATGCCTTTTTTTAAGTCTTTCTAGATCTTTTTAAATTTTGAATTAAAATTTTATGAATTTGAATTAAAATTTTAAGAATAATCCCTTTTAAAGTATATGCAATAATATGTCTCTTTATCTTTCCCCTGATGAGATTTTTGGTTAAAAAAAAAAAACGCTCCTTTTTCTTGTTTTATGCATCTTGTTTTATGTATGGTATTTTTTTTAGAGATTTTTCTCAATACAAATAGCTTGTTGATACATCATAATATAGTTTATAATTTGTATTAGATTTGTTTCTTATTATTTTGATGATTTTTGGTTTTTAAGTAAAATAGTCATTTGCGTTATTTAGGAGATATGCCACTACTAGTATCAGTGTGTTAACATGTATTGGATTAATGGACATGAGAGGAGACTTGACACAAAGAGTCAAAAATGTATGCAAAGAAGGTTTTTCAAATGTCCAATGAATATGTTTGTGAAAACTAACCCACCCAGGTGGGCTTACTTTAAATACAGACCGGCAGGAGATGAAGAAGTGATCTGAAGAAGCCGTCAAGGCGAAACGCGTCATCACGCATTTCCACGTCACATCATGTCGTCACGTGGTCCGGATGCTAACCCCGCCTCCCGGAAGAGTCCGTGTGGGATACTGGAGTGATCTGAGGTTCTTCAGCTGGCAGCGAACGTTATGGTCCGAGACCCTACACAGGACACACTCGAAGGAAGGAGGTGGAGTGGGGACGTTCTTTTATATTTTATGTGAACAAAGAATAAAGAATTTCCATTTTACCCCTGGCTGGCATCCTCTCCTGCATCACTGACCCTATTTGAGGTCTACACATGCTGAAAGTTAGAGCAGGCTCATCTACTCTCTATTTGTGAGTGTTTCTTTACTTTTTACACTTACAATATTTTATAAAAATTACACTGTTCTTTTTCTGTGTTTTTATCTTTGCGTATAAGCTCGGATGGTACAAAGTTGCCTGCAATTCTAACACACTGTTGTGTTTTATACATCTCTTTTCACTTAAAGCACTTTGGCAAAGGAATGCACATCACTAAATATTGCACAGTGACACTTTTGTTATATTTGTATGCACTTTAATCATTATATGGTTTGCACTGTTTTATAAAATTTGTTAAGTCTTAAAGACACAGCACACCTTATTCACCGGTTTATATTTCATGAGTGTATTTATGGGCTATTGCACTAAAGGTGCTGCTTTTTTGCACAATACTTTATTACATCTTTTTTAATAATTTATTTAGAACAATATTGTAGCGTCATCTTTCGCTTGATCTTTTGTGTATGATATCCGTGTCACTAACCTTAAAATAGTGGAGATTCATTATAGAAAATATAATGTAAAAGCACTGTATTAGTGTAAATGTAAGTGCTTTAAAGCCCTATTACTGTGATGTTAGATATTTTGGTTGCACAGGGGTTGTTATAGGAAGGTGGGGTTTGGTAAAAAGAAAGCAAAAATGGTTTCATTTTACAGGGTCCCATTCACTTATACTCTAAAGGAAGTGTGTTTTAACCTGATTGGCTTCCTTTGGTTAATTTAGTGCTGATGACAAAGCAGAGTGTGTAAAATGTATCCAGTTGGTTAATCACCCTTCTGACGATTTTAGTGGTAGGATTTATTTTTCAGTTTTGTTAATAGAAAGCATTAATACAAAGACTCCTGCATATGTAATCTTTGAGAGGCAGCCATTATCCGTAGTGCAGCCAGTATCTGATGGAAGTTGGGCGTAAGATGAAGAAGTCTTTCGCTGGAATTGATAGCATGCCCACTCCAAGCTACAAGGTAAAATTGTATTTAAATGTTAAGTACCATAGTTATTCCAACCCAACACTCTTAAAAAGTCTAACTTCTTCTGCTCTCGCTTCTAACTCAGCTAGATCATATTTTTTTTATGCAATTCACTAGCAAGTCTTCCGTTATTTAAAATAAAGTTGTGTGTACCATAACGTTTACACTCTTCTCTGAGATAGTCAGACATTTTGTACATAAAATTATGACCATCAGAGGATGAAATAGGCTTTAGAAAGGAAGATATTTTTGTTTATTTTTTTTATTTGCTATAGGAACAATAGATCTCTGATTATTGTAATTACTGTTGTGATCTGAAATACTGTCATATGTAACTCAAGTATTTGATGCACTTTTATTCAGCTCTTACATCTATGCCGCAAAGTACAAACAATGTGATTTTGTTAAGCAATGGCATCTTAAACATAATTAAAATGTGTCCTTCAGTTCTGAATTTTTCTGCTGTAAAACAGTAAATGCATTTTCATTCATTACATAATGCATTCTTTCTACCACAATGTTTTACCCTTTCATGATTAGACACGTTTTACCATACAGGTACATTCTACAGGCAGACAAATTGTCAGTAATATTTAAAGGGACACTATAGTCACCAGAACAACTACAACTTAATGTAGTTGTTCTGGTGAGTATAATAGCTCCCTTCAGGCATTTTCATGTAAACACTGCCTTTTCATGGGAAAGCATTGGATTGGCTAAAAAGTGGCAATTTTGATGATGTTACCAAGGGGGCAGGGCCAGGGCCAGATTAACATAGGGGCTGATGGAGCTGCAGCTTCAGACCCAGGCCCATGGAACAGGCCCATTTAAAAAATAAATAAAAATAAATTATTTTTTTTTATTTTTTTTTACACACTACTCTTGGGTTTGCCACCTGACTGGTATTTTAACAGCACAACCAGTATTTGGGGCTGCCTGGCCATGCTGGTATTGCAGTAATACCGGCAATACAAATGCAGATATTTTTCTCAGTATAAATAGAGATTACTCTGCAATACCAACACAAGCCAGTAGGGGTCACTGTGTGTGGAGAGAGGCAGGGATAGAAAGTTACAGCATATCCCTCCTTGCCTCTCTCTACTCACTGATCCACGGGGGAGCAGCTACACAGCACAGAGAGTTCAGACAGCAGCTCCCAGTCTGCAGACAGCTCAGGGAAGTGAAGGATGGGGAAGGGGGGAAAGGACAGGGGGAGAGGCAGCAGGGAAACATGGGAACACAGACACTTGGGGACACTGAGACACTAGGAGACACTGTGAGACATAGGGACATAGGGACATTGGGAGACACATTGGGACATGGAGACACTAGGGACACAGTGTCTCCATGTCTCCCAGTGTCCCCATGTCTCCCAGCCAATGTCCCTAGTGTCTCAGTGTCCCCACAGCTCCCAGTGTCCCCTAGTCTCCCAGTGTCTGTGTCCCCATGTCTCTCAGTGTCCCTAGAGTCTCATTGTCCCCATGTCTCAGTGTCCCCAAATATCTGTCTCCAAGTGTCCACATGTCTCCCAGCCAGTGTCCCTAGTGTCTCAGTGTCCCCATGTCTCCCAGTGTCCCTATATCTCCCAGCCAGTGTCCCTAGTGTCTCAGCATCCCCATGTCTCCCAGTGAAGGATGGGGGAAAGGCAGCAGGGAAACATGGGGACACAGACACTTGGGGACACTGAGACACTAGGGGACACTGTGAGACATAGGGACATTGGGTTACACATTGGGACATGGAGACACTAGGAACACAATGTCTCCATGTCTCCATGTGTCCCCATGTCTCCCAGCCAATGACCCAAGTGTCTCAGTGTCCCCACAGCTCCCAGTGTCCCCTAGTTTCCCTGCTGCCTTTCCCCCATATTTCACTTCCCTGCCTTTCCCCCATCCTTCACTGGGAGACATGGGGATGCCAGCTCCCAGTGTATGTGTCCCCATGTCTCTCAGTGTCCCTAGTGTCTCAGTGTCCCCATGTCTCCCAGTGTACCCAAATAGCTGTCTTCCAGTGTCCACATATCTCCCAGCCAGTGTCCCTAGTGTATCAGTGTCTCCACGGCTCCCAGTGTCCCCTAGTCTCCCAGTGTATGTGTCCCCATGTCCCTCAGTGTCCCTAGTGTCTCAGTGTCCCCATGTCTCCCAGTGTCCCTAAATATCTGTCTCCCAGTGTCTGTGTCCCCATGTCTCCCAGTACTCCCACATTTTTCAGTTTCATGTCCACAAGTGCCCCATGTCTCACAGTGTCCCCAAGTGTCTCAGTGTCCCCATGCCTCCCAGCCAGTGTCCCTAGTGTCTCATTGTCCCCATGTCTCCCAGTGTCCCCTAGTCTCCCAGTGTCTGTGTCCCCATGTCTCTGTGTCCCTAGTGTCTGTGTCCCCATGTCTCCATGTCTATATCCACAAGTGTCTCAGTGTCCCCTGGTGTTTCAGTGTCGCCTGGTGTCTCAGTGTTCCCTGGTGTCTCAGTGTCCCCATGTCTCACTGTGTCCACAAGTCTCTCAGAGTCCCCTAGTATCCTAGTGACAAGGGAAACACTGAGACATGGGGAGAAATGAGCACACTGAGACACTGGGAGACTACGGGACTGGGCGACATGGAGACACTGACACTTTGATACATAGGGACACTGATGCCAGGCTGGCCTTCCAATTCTTTGGACAGACATGCCCCCCTTTTTGGGCATGTTTGCCCCTTTTGGCAGTTCTGGTCACATGAGTCGCGTCACAGGCATACCCTTTTACCCCGCCCATTGACTTCCTGCTTCACTGGACACTGCTGTTAGGGGCTATGGATTTACTTGAATTGTTGTATGAGCTATTATATTGTATATGTTCATGAGTAGTTTGTGATATCATATATGATACCTATTAATGTGGGCTGTGTATGGAGGCTGCTTGTGGAATTGTGTGTGGATGAATGTCACATTGTGTGTTTGGTAGTGTGTGTATTTGAGGGGCTGTTTGCGGTATTGCATGTGAGAGGTTGCATGTGGGGTTGTGTGCATGTATGTGGATTGTCAGTGGTGTTGCATTTGTGCTGATTGTGTGTATGTTTGTGTGTGGGCTGTTCATATTATTTGTATGAGGGGAGAGTTATTCTGAAGCTCTGTGTATATCTAGCAGTGTAGGTGGGTTCCAGTGTGGACCAGGCTGGCCAGGTACAGATCAAGGGCAGAAGTTGAGATAGCTGCCGAGGGCTGCTCTACCCCAGTGTGGATTCACATTCACAAGTGCTGGAATGAAGTGAGCTGAGAGCACTTCCTATACATGCTGTAATATGTAAATTGAGGATTGTCCTTCACTACCGTTTCACGGGGACTCCTCATAAGCCAGAGTCTGTTTGGCTCTAGCTGTATTTAGTGCCATGCAAAGACACCTTGAGTGCCATGCATGGCACACGTGCCATAGGGTGCCTACCCCTGATATAGGATATACCTGTTTAGTTTAAATTGTATTGACTAAAGGTCTGGTGCACGTTTGAGACAATTGTGCTCAAAATATTCCACTATTGCAGCATTAAGAAACAATCTGGAGTTTATGATTCCTAGATTGCAAGCTCAATTGAGCAGTGCTCACTTCACTTATTGTGTCTGTCTAAATGATTTGTCTGTCAATTGCCTACTCTAATATGCACACTCTATAACTGTTACAAGCTGTAAAATCTGTTGGTGCTGCATAAATGCATAGCATATGTGAAGTTTATATTAAACAATATCATATGTGTTATGGGCAAATGCAAATATTGTATTTCTACAACTGTGTACTTTGTCTTTAAGAGATATTGCAAAATGACAAGGTGTTAGAAATGGAACATGTTGTTTTTCATACATGTTTCTTTAAGCAATAACATTTTACCTACTTTCAGTGCATAATAGGTTTACGCCATTTTTGTCCCAGACTAAATACAATAACAATGCATAAACAAGCTTCAAGGCTATGCTATGCCTATTTCAGTACATAATACACCGCGGTAACCCTAAATAGATAAAGAAGTTCAGACTTTAAGATGCCATCTTGTCCTAAGTCAGGGAATTTTCCATGACGTGTGCACCCTTACGTTTTAGT